CTATCTCCAATTCTAGCTTTTGTAGGCCTCTCACCATCGGCATCCGAGTTACTTATACTCGCGGTAATTGATTTCCTACTCGGGGCATCGGTAATAATATTGGCTTTGTCCGGGTGGTAATTGATTATACAATCATAGTCTTTAACCAATTCAAACCACCTCCTTTGTCTCATGTTTAACTCTTTTTGTGTGAATATATACCGTAAGCTTTTATGATCTATATATATTTCACACTTTGCCCTATATAAATAATGCCTCTAGATCTTCAAGACAAAGACTACCGCTACTAATTCTAGATCATGTGTCGGCTAATTTCGCTCGAACTCCTTTAATTACCATGATGCATAGGTTAATACTCTCCTATTTTGCATCAACACCGCTCCTAGCCCATTTTTGGAGGCGTCGGTATAAACTACGAAAGTTGTTTTCCGGGACGAAATGGTTAATACTTGGAGCCATGAGTAACATACATTTCAGCCACTTGGAAACTTTTCTCATAAGCATCCATCGACCGGAACTTAACACTTTTCCTCATTAAATTAGTTAGAGGCATTGCTAGTTTGGAAAAGCCTTCGATGAATCTCCGATAGTAACCGATCGGCAATAAAAAACCCCGTACCTCTATCACACTCTACGGGGTAGGCCAACTCTCAATAGCCTCTACTTTCTTCGGATCTATCGCTATACCCTCATTCGTCACTACGTGACCTAGAAAAGCTATCCGTTCTAGCCAAAATTCACATTTCGTGAATTTGACGTACGATTCTTCGTTCCTTCAACGTCCGTAACTTAACTCTCAAATGCCATTCATGCTCCTTTTTACTCCGGGAGTAAACCAAAGTATCATCTATAAATACGATGATAAATTTATCTAAGAACTCTTTAAAGACTCGATTCATCAAGTCCATAAAGACAGCTAGGGCGTTGGTCAACCCAAAAGACATCACTAGGAACTCATAGTGATCGTATCTCATTACGAACGTCGTCTTCTTCACATCTTCTAATTTTACCCTCGATTAGTGATATCCGGACTACGGGTTTACCTTTGAAAACACCATTGCTCCTTACAACTGTCAAATAGATCATTAGTCCGAGGCAACGAGTACTTATTTTTAATAGTCACTCGATTTAATTCTCGATAGTCGATACACGACCTTCATACTATCATCTTTCTTTTTCACGAACAATACTGGAGCTCCTAGAATGAGGAACTAGGACATATAAATCCCTTGTCCAATAAGTTACGTAATTGCACCTTTAACTCATTTAGCTCGACGAGAGCCATTCTATAAGGAGTTTTCAAAATCGGAGTCGTGTTTGGCTCTAGTTTAAATTTAAATTTTATTTCCCTCTCCGATGGTAGCGTTGTTAAACTCTTTGAAAGCACATCTAAATATTCTTGTAAAATCTCTATATCTCTCGATTTTAACTTTTGCTCCTTCTAGCTATCCACCACATGCGCTAGGTATCCCATACACCCTTTTCCTAGCATTTTTTGGGCTTTGATAGACGAAATGATCAATTCGGTTTAAAGCTTCGACTTGGCCTTAAATTCTAACTATCGACTATCGGATAGATAAAAAGTTACTCTTTTTCCTTGATAGTCTATATTGGTACCATGCTTAGTCATCTAGTCCATCCCCTGGATCAAATCAAAATCCTAAAGGTCTAACACTATCAAATCGACTTCTAATTTCCTATCTTTAATTTGTATCGGACATTTTTTAACCGCATTCATCGATTCCATAGTTTCACCTGAATGGACCGCTATAAGATATCCTACGGCTTATGTCTTAGGTTTGACTCCTAGGCTTTTACTAATGTATTTGATATAAAGGAATATAGCATCGAAATCAATCAAAACATATACAATCAAGCCAAGGATTGAGACATTATCAAGAATTACTATTGTATTCCTTTGATCCGTCTCTTCGGGTCATAATGTACACTCGAGCGAGTACTCTTCCCGGTCTCGGGTTTCTACATTTGAGGGCAATTGTAGGACGTGTCTTGGCTTTTGAAACACATAGCATATCCCGACATCCGATCTATATTCCTCGGTATGAAACCTTCCACACTTATTACACTAGGGTGGATTGCCCATCATTGATCTTGGTTGGTCGTTCGACGGTAGCCTCGGAACATAAGGTGCTCGGTCCGATAGCTCGAGTATTCCTTCGACCACCACTTTAGTTGAAATTCCTAAGCGAAACTCATTTTACTTACCCGGATAAGGAGGCTCCGAATCTAAACCCTTGTCTTTTTTGTTACAATTCCCTTGTAATCTCCTTCTAATCTTCGTCGCCTATCATAGCCTTATCCACCATTTTTGAGAAGGTATTAACAGTCGACATCCATACCATACTTCATACCCTTGGGTTTAACCCTATCATGAATCTGTTCCTTTTTAGATTTTCATCCCCGATAATGAACGGGACGAACTTACACCCTTGCTCAAACATCCGAACATATTCACCTACCGATATTTCGTCTTGCTTTAGTTATAGGAAATCCTATATCTTCTTAGCCCTCACGTCCGCGGTGAAGTAATTGTTATAAAAGACCTATTTAAATCCTTACCAATTCAAAGTCAGCACATCTATAGTTAGTCATGTGCTCTTCCACCAAGTGCGGGTATCCTTAGTTAATAGAAAGATGTTGCACGACACTCGTTAATGGTTGACAAATTGTAGGTATTCGAATATTGCCTCTAAAGACTTAATCCACTCCTCGGCTATCATTGAGTTCACTCCTCCAAGTAAACTCTCGAGGGTTCATCTTGCGGAACCTTTCTACCATATCATTCTTGTGCTTGGAGTAGAGGCTATTGTTGTGTAGCTAAAAGTTACCTCATCCGTTCAACATGAACTTGTTGTTGCTATTATAGTGTCTCGTTATTCTTGTTTCATGATTTTCATCATTCAATTCAATGTTTCTTGTTGGTTCAAGTTATTATCGTTGGAGGTCCCTTCACGTTCGCTCGTGTGGGGTTCTTTCTTGGCGACATGGTTTATCTTTACATACACATTAAGTTCAAATTAGTTTCGATATAGATTTTAACATTTAATGTAAATCATTCACATTCGTATAAATTTATATTTACAATAATGTCGTCCGAGGCACGTTGTACTATCTCTCGTGCAAGAGGTAACAATAGACCCTAATCGTACATCAATCGAGTACGGGTCTACCTAACTTGCATCGGAAGGAAGGCTCGGACCAAATTCGATAGCAATATCTATCTATTAGACCTTCCCAAACCTCATTGAGCAACAGCTGATCTCTCGGTAAAAGAGTTTAATGTAGAGTCGGTCGTAGGAAATCCATACTCGCGATCTTGCTAGAAAAAGCATCGGCGAATGTTATTCGCCGAATCAAGTCATGCATCTAAGTGAGGTGGGCTACTATATCCTAATTGAGGGTCATAGTTAGGCTATTTAGTTCAACTTAATAGTTAGCTAGGGTGGCCCGTTGTTGGCACTTCCTAGCAATGAAGGGTGTGCGAAATAAATATGGCATCTACAATAATAATAATTACCGGTATTAACATTTCTAGAACATAATTAAATGCTAGTATAAAAATCATATAATAATCATTTGCATTAAAAAAATCAAAAATCAAATTGTTACTAATCGAGTAATACACCAGCCCTCGAAGCTCGAGTGACACTTAAGGTTCATCCGATTATCTAAATCATAGTTTTGATACCACTCGTAACGTACCCACCCCGATTCACTCTCTATTACCTAAAAAGGAGTAACTAGGCAAGGTGTGTCATGTTGACACGACCAATTTTGAATTAACCTTAAACACGTACGTGCTCATACGTTAAGGACTTATCATATAATGAAACGTGTCCAAGACAATTTATATAATATTAACAATACGAGTAAAAGAAATTATAAAATTTATTTACAATACCCTCAAAATGTTCATTGACACCCTAACTGTAAAATTTAAAACAAAACAAAATCCCCTAAAGTTTATGTCACTCCCGAGCCCTTTTGAAGGATCCGTCGGCATCCTTATTAAGTACTTACGATGACCGCTACGTGTCATAGCATACAAATAAAAATGAGGTGAGCCAAAGCTCGGTAAGTGGGGTGATGCAAGTGATATGCAATGCTTTTCGACTTCCCATCATTCTCACCAATTTTTAATTTCGGGTACCCTAGGTATTAGCGGTCTACTATATAGGTTATTACCAAGTCACCGAATGCTAACAACAAAATTATCCCTCGTTGTAGCCACTACTCGACGATTGTTAGCATCTAATTTTTGCTCCTCTTTATTTATTTATTTATTTTTATTGTTACAAAAATACTAAAAAATAAAACAAAAAATAAAAAAATAAAAAAGCAAAAACAAACAAAAAATGAAAACAAAAGTGGAAAAAGAAAAAAATTAGTTGGGATAATTAGTTTAGGTTAATTAAAAAAAAGAGAGGAGAGAAAAAGAAAGAGGGAGGGGATTAATTTAAGAAATGAAAAGTCTAGAGGTGATAAAAAGTGCAATTGAGGTTCAATGAAAAAAATCAAAACTCTTGTCCTTTAATTAAAACAACAAAGGGGCATAATTGATAAAAAAATTAAACAAAAAGTCCCAATTAATTGGGATTCGAGGGGCTTATTGAAGCGAAAACTCTAGATTGAATTTGAATTAGTGCATGGGAAGAAACCAAGGACTAGAGCGACATTTGGCCCAAAAACCTATATATAAAACCACCCATGCATTTCTTTGTACGGGGCACTATTCATCACCACCCATAGAGAAGGAATTAGCCGTCATACACACACAAACCTCAGCTCTCTCTCACGCAAAACACATATTCGACAACTTCCTCTCCCCATGCCATATTACCACTTCGACCCTCTCAACCACGCACCACCGGCCCCTCCACATGCTGCCGACCTCACCATCACAAACCGATTTTTTTTCCACCCGCCTCTCTCTTCATCTACTCTAACTCAAAGCTCCTACCTCACAAAACCACACTAAGTCATCTCCTCCTCGCCCGAAATAGCCACTCACAAACCTCGCGAAGACCGCCACCTAAGCCTCCACAATCAGCCTCTTCCTTGCACCCCATCTTCTCCCTAACGAACACATTCAGCCACCACATGCACACAGAGACCAAGTTCTCACCCATTTCCCTCTCTCTCGCCCAAACCTCCACGACCTCTTTCATCGAAATCTTGGCGTTACGGCCCCACCATCTCCTCCTCCCAAGCTCCACTCAACTCTCCTCACTCCTCCATTACCTCCACAACGAGCCATCGGCACTAGTCGCCTCTCTCGTATGTCACAAACCCCATACAAATCGACTTCCATGGCCACTCACACAAGCCGACCTCTAAGCCTTCATCCCTTTCACCCATTTCGTATTTGACTATAACTTGGGCTACAAACAACCCAATTAAGTGATATTGGGCTCTTTAAAAAGATAACAGATCGAGCTAAAACTATTTTGCAGAGTCAAAAGCCTAATTTGGAAGATTTGAAGGTCAAAATGAGGCTAGAAGTCGAAGTCGGAATCCATTTAGTAATTTTTTTAGCATCGGGACCTATTCGATTCGAGTTCATATTATGGGTTATAGAAGTCCAATTGATGAAAGGATAATTACGTTGGAAAGATGAAATCTGGACCTATAATTCTTATGAAGACACTAATTCAAGATTAGGTTGTTAGAATGGTCAAAATTATGATTAAAAAAGCTGGAAGAAATTTCTCACGGAGGACGAAAATTCCAGACTGACCCCATTTCGACACCGAAACACAACCCAAATAAACCCCCATTTTGGCCAGCTTTTCCCTCACCTCAAATAGCACCAAAATACAATCCCTTTAGCCCTTAAATCAACTATAAACTATCTCTAAAAATAACCATAAAATTATCCCTAAAACCCGCCCCAAAACAAACCCGAAATACCCACCAAAACCCTTCAAAATCAACTTTACAACCATTACCAACATGCCCAAAAACCTTTACGAGAGAAACCCCTTTGGGAAGCCCATTTAAACCACCAAAGAATCCCCACAAACACCATTAAACCAGCTTTAAGATATCCTTAGAAACCCCCAAAATACGTCCCAAAACTTCCCAAAAACCAAATCCAAAATAGCCACCAACAACGACCTTTACAATCCCGAAACATGACCTTCAAAGACACTTACAGAGAAGCCCTTTTGGATAGCCCATTTAAGTCACTAAAGTAGCCACTAAAACACCCCTAAACCAGCTTCAAAAGTACCCAATATACTCCTAAAATACCCACTAAACGAGATGCAAAAACCTCTTTCAAAATAGCCTCACTAAACATTTTCCTTTTTTAAGTTATCGAAAAGAAAAAAAGAAAACTTTAAAAAGAAAAAAGAAAGAAAAAAAGATATTTTGGTGTTATGGTTTGGTTGCTTGCTTTTATTTAATTTGTTTTGATAGGAAACATATAAGATCCGCATCACACATTATCTACAAACAGTCACTCTCTTTTTTGGCTAATTGAATAATCGATTATCATCGGGAACGAAGAGAGTAAGACTAAATTCAAGCTAGACATCGGAACCACAAGATCTTTAGGTAAAATTCTAAAACTACTTGTTTGTTTTGTATATTTTTGTATCTCGTTTCTCATCTTTATTTTTGCCTTATTTTATTTTTATTTTGTTTATTATTTTTATTATTTCTTATTTTTTTGTTTTTTTGTGCATCATGTTTGGAAATAAGCCGTCAATCGCTTCCCACTTATATGACAAAGCTGCTCGAAGGGCTTTAAAATATTTTATTATTTTTTATTATTATTTATATGTATATAAGTCGTCGGTAGCTTCTCACTTATGTGACGAAGCCGGTCGGACGGCTTCAAAATATTTTTGTTTATTTGTTTGCATGTGTGAAAATAAGTCGTCGATAGCTTCCCACTTATGTGAAGAAGTCGTCGGCGACTTTTCAAGATAGTCATTTGCTCCTCTTGAGCGACATGAAGTTGCCGATGACTTCCCACCTTTGTGACGAAGTTGTCGGTAGCTTCTTACATCCATGGCTCAAAGTCGTCGGTAGCTTCCCACTTGTGTGAGTGAAGTTGTTGTTGACTCGCGGCTCATACAAGTAAAAGGCTATCTACCTTTAGAAACTCACCGATTTTTTGATAATAGGTCCCGTTTACTAATGATTAGCTGAAATTATGATTTTTTTACCTTTTTTCCATTTGGGTGGGGCATATGGGCTTTGGATCGGCTCGAATACCCGAACTACCCTATTTCACACTTGAACTATATCGTCCTAAAATTTTATCAAATAAATTCACACGGATAGGCATAGAAGTACAACATGATAAAAACTATATTCTCATATTCATAGACAAATAATACGACTTATCTTAGGTAGGATGGAATGGTGGTGACGTTATGTGTTCTTTATACGTAACCGACCCCTTACCCATATATCTATGTAGGCGAGTATATTTAGGGTTTTCTTAGTTCTCCCCCAATTAGCTAGGTGGTGACTCCTTTATCTCGGCCCCTTTCCCCACTTCGTTTGGCCGACGCCGACGGAATTGGTGACTCCACTAGGGACCATTAGTGTCATGCTAGGGTTAAGCTTTGAATGTCCATGCTTTGAATATCCGGTCATTTTTCGTGCCTCTATGCCTATTTATTTTTAAGTGAGTAATTATCATTTATTTGTTTATTTGTTTTCCCTTTTATGGCAAAAATGTATCTCGTATATATGTATGCTTTTTGTGTTTTCTTATCCCCGTAGCTTAAGTTGTTTAATTTCTTACCCTTTATATTTTTAGAGACTTGGATATAGAGTCATGTCCTCACACACTACAATGTATAATTATAACCGTCATTTGCATTTGCCTCATGATATAGGGAGTTAGTAGTGGTGCCCCGATGGGTTTCACCTCGGGAAAACACTCATGAAACCTTGAGCCTTCTTGCTAGCTACCATCGGTGATGGGTAATCGATGATTTTTCATGATTACTAATGTCACCATGGATAGTCCTATTGATTCTACTAAAAATTCATTAGGTTGAAAAGTACCATTTTGAGACCTAGATAGAGCCTACCCCTTCATGTAATAGTTAGAACCGGACTTTAGGACCATCTCGCCTTGTTTAATACACTCGGGTAAGTCGGATATGTGTGAAACCTTGACGTAAAAAATTTGGTCACAATGTTTCAAGATGAGTGGCAAAAGAGTTCAAACTCGGTTCAACCAAGCGTCAACAAAAGTGTTGAAGGGTTACTAATGTGAATAATCATATCATTAAACCTACCGTAAGCAATCTCATTGATGAAGAAATAAAAAAGAACTCTTTTGTCACCCTCCATAGATGACTACTCCATATCTAGTCAAGTGTCTTTATTTTATGTCGATATTATTTATGTTGCTATATTTTGTTATTTTACATGAAGAAGCATAAGTCATCCTATCAAAATCATGTTTTCCCTCTAAGAATTGATAACTCAAGTCAATGTAAGAATAGACAACGATGAAAGGGTTGAACTTGAGCAAAGCCATCATAAAGGTTTAAGTGCCTTGAAAACAAAATTGTCTAGGCTAGCTACTTCACTTGATCAAAATTCTACAAACCCACTTATTTATTGAAGTGCCTCCTAGTCGGAAAATGGGTCGGTCATTTGCTATCCTTGAGGTGTTCATTGTCATATCAACACCCACTACTCAAATGGTAATTTATGTGCCACCTTTCTCCACTCTCCATTAAAACATTATTAGCGTTATGAATTTAACCAATCACATTGCACTTGGGGCCATGTATGAGCCAACCCATCCCGAAGTTTCTAGCTTGAGTCCATGACAGTCACATACTTCACAAACTCGGGTAACTCTTATAGTTAATTTGATTCGTCAATAAAAAGTTAAAAGAAAAAATAAGCTTAGAGACTATAATTGAGAAGCTTAGTGCCATTGAAGAATGTCTCGTAGTCGTTAATGATGTGGATACGCACAACCTTCGGTTTGATAGTAGACGGATGCTTGATTTGGAATGCCATAATTTCGAAAAGTGGTAGAATACTTCAATCACGATATCAAAGATTATCTAGGCCTCTCCAACTATGTTGTCGGTGGAGTGAACATGTAATCATTGGATGACATTGGGTGTAATAATAAAATGACATTTCTAAAATTTTCATGTCCGGTTTGTTTGACATTTTATCTATTGTCGGCATTAGCAAGAAACCATTTAAGTCTCAAGTTCGCTAATCATGTCAAATCCTTCGCAAGTGCCATAAAAAGAGTGGACATGACATTAATGATTTTTATGAATTTTGTCAAGAGGTACATGCTATGCTAATTCTAGGCACCTTGAGGGTAGAAAGAAAGGAAAAAAATCGGAGAAATCTTCATACATTGCTGATTTGCGTAGCAAAGATCCGAGTTTAAGCCAACTATCGCATGATATGATAATGAACATTTTGAGGGATAGAGAAAGCCGATGCTAGAAATGAAATCACACATTCTAGGTTAATGCCTAACAATTTAGAAATGATGGTGCCTTTTACCTACTACTTAAGGATGTTTTTGACGTTGATCGGCTTGTCTATGAGACCATTTGTGGAAAAGGATTGAATGATCGGTCGAATGAAAAAACACCTTTTGTTTTTAAGTCCAAGTAATTTTCTTATCATATTTATCCATAATGCTTTCATGTGATGTTAATTTATGGGATCATGTAAATTTTGTTCTCAAACTACTACCATTGCCTTCTTTTTTTATTACATTTCACTCTTATTTCCACCCACCTTTAGGACATTCAATATGATCACATCTCAAAAATAAAAACACTAAGTGATTGTGCTAATAAAAAAAAAGAGTTGGCATAACTAGGATATAATGTGCATGAGAATGAATGTAAGGAGAATATCCGAAGCTCGTCGGAGAAGCACAAACACGTCTTGATTTTGTGAATGAAATGTTACCTTATATTGAATTTTTGAATTTCATTTGCAAAAGTGTTATAATTTTCATGGATTGGGCATTTCTTTGAAAAAATGTCCTAATATCTTGGCATGGTTTTATTATGGATTTGAAATCAAGACATGTTTATTTGAAAGTATCATTGTCATTTTATGTCATCCAAATCAAAATGAATAAAATGACAAACTCATTCAAAATTTTTCAACGGTGATCAACTTTCAAAAAATGTTGTGCAAATGCTAGGGGCCGATCCTTTCTTCTTGAAACCAAAAAAAGTACTCCTCTCTTATTCCCGAAAAATCCTTTCAAAACAATCTTGCCTAAGATGATAAATAAAAAAACCAAAAAAAAAAAAATGATTCTATATCTTAAATGGTAATGAG